CACGGAGTTTTCGTCCGTGGCATCCCAACAATTACTCCATTCACACGCAGAAGAAGGCAATGGCAAACCACTTCTGGATCATCTGCCAAGAACGTATATGAACAGGTCCCAGTCCGAGAAAAGGATGGAAGGATCCTGTTCATATGGACCTGTCGTCAGACAGGACACTAAATAAATAAAATAATGATTAAATGTGTTTCGGCAGCGTTATAGTTCGTGACGCTTCGATTTTTTTTTAATTCGGGTTAAACGTTCGACGAGGAGTGTCTTCGAGTTCCGTTAGAGAAACCTTCACCTGCGTAATACCTCCTTTCCATAACTAAACATATTTTAATGTTTGAGTCTGCTTCGCTGTCAAAATAAGTGTGGAACAATTTTCTCTAGAAATCCCACTGAAAATATTTGAACATCAAATTTGGTTTCTGCCGCCCAGTAAACATTTCTGTGCGTGTTAGGAAACTCTTGTGCGTTCATTTAATGTCATACCTGCCGAGTTTCTGTCTGATAACTCCAGAGAATACGTTTTGTATCAGCAGGCCGGTTTTTTTTCTAAAATTCTGAAATGAAAGTAATCCCACTGGAGGCTTACATGTAACACGTTCTAAATCCCCTGGTGAATGCGCTGGAGACGTGCCCCCTGAACGGCAAACATCATCAGCAGCTCGTCACATTCAGTAACCTTGTGTCACTGATAAAGCTATCAGTCGCGGGACAAAATACAAGTAAATCAATCATTGCGGCGTGCAGCTGTCTGTCTGTCTGTCTTGAGAGAGTCTCAACTAAGCATCTTCCTTCACGAGTACGAAGAAGTCACAAATTGATATCGTTCATAACCCTGAACGGGATCTGTGGCTGGCGTTTTATGAAAGAGGCCTTCGCCGGCTGTGTGACGAAGGGACTTGCACGATAAAGACCTAATGGCTGTCCCGTGCCGATCAAATGTTTTGTACCAGACATTAATAATGCTTAATGAAACCTCAACTAATATAAACCACTGACTCATATGAAGTCGAGATCTGGGTGTCTTATTGGTAAAAGGAGGGCAATTTCCATGTCAGATGCTGGGAATATTACTGTATAAAATTTGTCGTTGGATGTCTGTAGTATGAACTGGCGGATGTTTAATTTTTGTGAAATTTCAGTTTAATTTCTGGTAGAGGTTTGACGACGTTTCAGAGGTGTTTACTGCCTTCATCAGGACGATGATACGTCAGTAAACTTTTAGTAGACTACACGGTGCTACAACGGCCCCTATCGGTTGTCTGTGACCCCTAGAAATGTAACGTAGATCTTAAATACGAAGGGATACGATACGCTCGATGTGGATTCAATTTTGATATGTCTCGGTGTTCCATGTCGCTTGTATGTGACGAAATGCAAGGATCAGATATGTGGTGCAACATCGGTTCTGGGTTACAGATGCGAAATCGCAGACCGCGTTTGTGAACTCCGTGAATTTGCCACATTACAGATCTCAATTTAATAATTATTTTTATTTTCAGTCTGTCCGTCACTCAGCTGAAACTGGTTGCTCATTCCATCAGGGTCTCTTTCAGATTTTGTTTTACGCCACGTGATTAATCCCACGCAGCAGAATTCCTCATGGAGAATCTGATAGTTGTGTAGCTAGTGAAGAAACTTTCTGCTTCTGATGAACACGAAAGTTTATTACCCGTTTCAGAAGAGCCGGTTACTTGGACCCCTGTCCTGAGTCAGATTAACTCACTTCACATCCTAAAATCGTTTTTATCTAACATTCATTTTAATATTATCATTTCAATTTATCATCTGCCTCTAAAGTAGTTTATTGTGATTGCATTTATTATCTTCCACTCGTCAATGTGCCTTCGCATTACTTATGAAGAGTAAAGATTATGAAACTCGTCAGAATTCATATTTCTCCATCGTCCTGTTACATTTTCCTCGAAGGTTCGAGCATTCCGTTCGCTTGGGATAACAAGACAAGTTGTGAAATTTCGTATTAAGGAATTGTACTAAAATGTGCTGATACATTATAATTTCGTAAGGTAGTATATTTGCGTCATATTGTGAATTAAGTTAATATTTTAATATTTTTTCCGTCAAATCACAATTTTTAATAAGATGATAAAATATAAATTATTTAAAATATCATTTCATATTTTATCATCTTATTAAAAATTGTGATTTGACGGAAAATATTAAAATATTATAATTTCGATTAAAATCGGAGGGTAATAACGAACTCTTCACACTGACATCTAATTCCGTTCCTGTAAGCGAAAGTAACAAGGCGGGGGGGGGGGGGGGGGGGGGAATCCCAAGCCAACAGCTGAAGCACGTGGGGAATCCTACATACCCAGCCCGACAGACGCCAGACCTTAGACAACTCTCATTCGCGAATAATCTGCCTCCCACGAACTGAACACTGACGATGCTTGTAGGAGATCTAAAATCTAGAGGCACTGACAGAGTTGAAATCCGTTCTGCCGTTCTCGAGTTGTTCTTTGAGGACAAACAGACACGTGGTGAAGTTATCAGACACGTTTTTGAAACTTTCACTTGTGAGTACACATAAATTATGGTGCTACGTATTTTAATTTTTACGCAAGAGTTTGAAAGTCAGACGTGTGTCGAACTCAGTACATAATGCGACTGCGTAATGGACAATCTTGTCTTCCAGTTTCAAGGACAAATCTACTAAACGGATTTCAGCGGAAGGTCGTATTTGATCCGTAGGCGAAGAGTTGTTGGTAAATTTTCTTTTTTGTTTTGGCTAACCTGCTCAAGGGACCTAGAAGCTCATATCGAACTTTACGAGGTTTTCTGAAACAACTGATTGTCGAAAAAAAAAATGTTCAGGTTATAAAAATATATTTTTAAATTATATCAGCAACCTTTGTTTGAAACAATGTGCATATTTAACGAATCTGAATACAAATAAGTTTATCGTCTGAGGTTAGGTTAACAGAATAGCTTTGTAAAAATACATTTTTATCTCGAAGGTAACGAAAAATGTCAGAAATGTTCTCCATTTTTATTTCTTTAAAGAAAGTACTGGTTACAATATGAAAATAATAATAATAATAATAATAAATAAAAAACTTACTGATTTATTGGAAGAATATAGTGATTGTTAATGATAATTGATTTGAATAAAAATTTTCTTGGATATTATCCATCGTCTAGTAAATAAAATATAAAAAATATAGACGATGGATAATATCCAAGAAAATTTTTATTCAATTGACTCTTCACCATCGTCAAGAACTTTTAGATTTGATAATGATAATTGACTTTATACTGAAATCATGTTGATTCAATACTTACCTGGTAAATGATAATGATCATTAATGATACAGATATTACGTAACAGTAATAAGAGTTAAATGTAAATGTAGTAGACAGAAATAAATGTTTATTTAGAATTCCATAAGGGAACAGAAACTGCGATCAGACGGAGGCAACTACGTGGGTGTACGACGGCTCATTCCAAAACTGACAGCCCCCTGATCCCCGGGAAAGTTTTGATATTATACATGCGTTGCTTCAACGTGTAAAAATCTATGTTACTGAGTTTTTTATGTTATGTTCTTACAGTGAATTCCTCGTATTAAAAAACATATGTTATGTGTTACAGCGAACTTCAGAGGGGACCTTCACTTATGGTGTCGTCTTTTGCTGCCCGGCATTGATAAACGCGTGTATAATCTACAGAGCAAACAACTGATCAAGATTTTCAGTAAGGTGAATGATGTAGGAATGAAACATACGAGGTGCGATCGGAAAGTTTCTAGAGTGCGCGTATAAAAACCCGTACACTTATCTCAGGTATTAAATTCATCCATC